GATTCACCATGACCTTATTGAATGGTACAGCAGGCTGAAGGGACTGAGTGGCCCAAAGCTATTCCTAATTCATATGTTCTTATGTATAAAAGGATGTTGTTTATAAGAAGTGCAGACCAATATAGAGCACACACACATCAGCAAAATGTCAGTCAATATTTTAGGAGGTTTGGTCCAGTAAAATGGTAGTTTTCACTAATCACCATTACTTCTTTATAATTTTTTTAAAAATTGAAGATGTGATCTATAAATAGATTTGTAAATCTACTAGATAAGCTTCTTATAGAATCCTTTTAGAAGTGCCCTGTAATAGACATCAATCCTGGCAATTAACTAGCTTCTATTTTTAATCCAGGATCTTAAATAAGCATGAATGTTAATTTAAAAATCATTAACAGCAAAGTAAAAGATTTCAGAAAGAAGGTTATGATACTTATTCTTTAAGAATAACCAAGTAGTAACATACACAAAATAGTTTCTGCTACCTCAGAATGAATGTCAAAAATGTCTGCTCCACAGAGGTTTGGATACAGTTCAAAATAACACTCTTACCTTTACTACATATTAAGAAAAATTAACAAACACAGCCATCTGCTGGTCAGAATCAGCAAAGATTTGTTGTATATGCAGTGGTTTGGGTGATTTATAACATTGTTAACAAATTACTTATAATTGTGACTTGATAACATTAATTAGCCCAATTGCAGGTTTTATGCATAAGATTGTTTTTTGCACCCTTGTATGTTTCTTTTAAAACCCCATAGAGCAAGACAACATAAAAGACAGCATCTAGTTTACAATGATTGTTAACACTTGTTTTATTGGTAGATTTAATTGATGTAATTGACTTAACTGCCTGATAAAACAGACTTTGCAGCTGTGGTTGATTCTCATACAGATCTGTGTGGCTAATTTCATTTTTTTATGTTAAACTAATGGCAGTACAGTTTAACAATATTTAGCCATAACCCTACAATAAACTAATTCTGTATTTATTAACTGTGAGCTCTTTGTGTAGACAAATAGATTAAGTGGAAAGTAACAGGCAGCCCTGTTGGGTATGGATGTATATTTTTGGGTACTGACATCAATCAGCGACTATATTATTTGTGGAAACACGTGATAAAAGGAACTTCTTAAGCAACTCCAAAACAGTGGAAATTTTTATCATCTCTAGTAACTCTGGCAACCTGTAGAGACCATAACCTCTTCAAGCTGATGGCAATCTGGTCTGGTCTGTTTACACTATCCCACTTACTAAATTATTCAATATTCAATTTGCTACAAAGAAATCAATTTGTTATTTTTTCTCACAAGGCATAGTGGCAATATAAAACTCTCCCAAGTGGTTGTTCATATCTTCAGGTCTAAGGTGGATAAATGTGAATTGAAACTATCAAGAGTTAGAAAACAATGTTGAGTAAATATATAGATTATGTATATATTATATATAGGTTATAGTCAATTATGACCTAAATGAATAGGTGAACAGGCTTGCTGCATGGTTTATGTCTGGTCCAGTGTTCCTAATTCCATGAGAGATGGGCCATGTTTAACAAGTGATATCGCAAATACTTGCATTTAGATTTTTAAAAAACTTGAAATTGAAAATAACACAGAAAATGAAAATCATGCAGTGTCTGACAAACTTTAGCACTTTAGATGTGACTCTTCTTCAAAATTCAATGAATACTGTTCATAACAAACAGTGCAGGATTTTGTGTGATATTGGATTCTGGTGTTTCATATACTTTATTGGAAGTTTGAAGATCTCACATGTTGCCTTTGGGGATAGTGATAAAGCAGGCACAAAGCTCTTTCAATGGGTGGGAGGGAGGGAAGGTTGAGGGCCAGCCATGTTCCCTGCCCCTCTCATATGCACTAGCAGCAGGTTAAAAGTGTAGAAATGGGTCACCTGCAAATAACCACATTTTATTTTGAGGTAATAATACATTTATGATCCAGTCACTGATAACATTTTGTAGGTTCCTGACTGGTTATCTCACTTCCGATTTGTCCAGAGAACTTTGCTAGGCATTGGGAACCAGTCCACAAGTGAAAACCATTGTAGTAAGATGCTCTGTGCTATAGCCAAGTTAATATTCTGCTTCTACTATCCTGCCAGTGTAAGATTTTCTGAACAAATTGATGCTTCATTAGGAAAATAGGCAAAAGATAAGACACTGGTCTCTGTTATTCACAAAGGCTTAAAAATAAACTGATATACGAAATGTGGAAAACCTAACGAGGTTTAGCATAGTCTATTATTAATTACTATTCCTGATTAAACAAAATGTTTACATTCCTCTAAAGTTCAATCAACAAAACTTTAAACAGGCTTATCATCCTCTGGTGGTATTGATATTCTTATCTGCAATGTAAAAGTGATAGCCTGGACATTGACACTTTTAAATGATTATACAGATTGCAACCCTTTTCAGTAAGGCATCAGAATCTGTAAACTGCAAATGGGTTTCTTGTTACAGGTGCAGACTGCCCTTGCTATTTGAGGTGGCTTGTCAGCTCCAGCCCTACTCCCCAGCACCAACTGCATTCCTGCAGGGTGAATGTTTGCTTACATCATTCTGTTGTTGAATTAAGAACACCTGCAGATAGCTACTGTAAGGAAAACTTAGTAATGGTTGACATTGCCTGCTAACAAACTGCTCCTGGTAAACATCCTTCCAAAGTGACTGTGTATCAATTTCAAAAACCTTACATTTTATTTTAAATCAAATCTACGGCAAATTTAATCCTTTCCAGTCTTTTTCAAATTTAAAGTCACAGCAACCTCCCACTGGACTAGGAATTAAAATTGTTAATAATGGATGAATTCTTCAACCTAGTTGTATGATATTTCTATGTCTGCCGTTTTAATATTTAAAACATATCCTTATCAAAGATGCAGGCAGGAAAAGATACCCAAATATTAACTGTCTGTCGACTCTTACAGTACATTATGTTTTACCATACTATAACATTCAATTGAGTGGCAGTATCAATTGTTAATATTCTGTTTTCTGTACTTACATATGAATTTTTTTTGCCCCTTGCTTATTGATAATCCACTCTGTGGATTCTATGGTTTAATAAGAATACTTGGTTATATCTTGCTTTATAATAACGTTGTCATTGCAAGACTCTATTTTAAAACATGTTCTGCAATATTAATACTCATTTGCAACACCTTATGCAGAATGGGTCATGTTTTTGAATAAAAACAAGAGTTATTTCCAGATTAGAACAAGAGTGTGTAGCCTGTTATTGCAAATTACTTGTTCCATTCCGTTTTCAAGTATTTCATTGTTAAATCTCTTTTTCTTTGTTTCTGTTTTTCATTCAGTTTCTCTCTGCACCAAAGTAGATGCTGCTTTTAAATACAAGTCCGTACTCATGAACAGCTGACCAAATTTCTGACCTAACTGATCATATTTCTGTCCAAGCTTAGGTAGCGTACAGACATTTTAAGTGCGTGGGAAAGTAGCCATTACAGTTAATCCTGCAGTGTACATAATGTCAGTATTCGCAACCCTCTTGGAAGGTGAGCGTGAGAGAAAGCAAGACTCATGGGTCAATCTCCACTCAATTAATTCCCCTCACCCCAGCGAACCACAAGATTTCCGGACTACTGTTTGTCTGCAATGTACGCAGGTCAGGGTATGAACCTGCGTTTTCTGATAATAGAGTTTAAATGCATCGTGGAAATTGAATTGTGGAAGCCAAGAATGTCCCAGGTCCTATCCCAGGTCTGCATTGGATAAACTCATCTCGGGGGATGACAAACTTATACGCAATTCACTCAGTACTGTAAGTTTCTGATTGGTTGTCCGATAAGTGAATTTTCTTTTCAGTACCTTTCATTAACTCTTCTTAATTCAACATCAGAATGATGCAAGCAGTCATGCACCCTGTATAAATGCAGTTGGTGTTGCAGATCAGGGGCTGGAGCTGACAAGATACCTCCAGCAGCAAGCGCAGACTCCACCTGTAAGACAAGAAACCATTTTCATTTTTGCAGATTCTGATACCTCACTGAGCTGGGTCACTCTCTGTGTAATCATTTAAAAGTGTCATTGTCTCAGGCCGCCACGTCCACGTTTTGACACCACAGATACCAATTTCAGGAAAATAGTGCTATACCAGCTTCCTACTACTGTACTGCCTTGTTTACTTTCCCGCTGACACTTCTTCATCAAGTACCGGAAGCTGGGAGCATTTAGTAAGAAATATGGATAAGTGAGTTTGTGCTACTCCCAGTACAGGCTAGTGACCTCTGGTAACCTTTCTACTGTCAGCAATGCGCAGCCAACAACATTTGTTTCCCATCAACTGTTGCTTTTCGGGTGATTAGGACTTACACAAGTTTTTGGCTTCACTATTACTTCATTCCTTAAAATTTTTTTTGGCTGCAAAGTCTCTTTGGTCCAAAATCCCTATTTGGTCTTGTTTAATATTGTTTTGCTTTAATGTTATTAGGACTCTTAACTGTGTAAAGCTTCAGAGGTTCATTTTGACAGGATTTACTGGACCCAGTAGTGCATTATGGTATGGGCCGTCCTGCTGTCTTATTGCAGGCTAATCCCGTGCCCGTCCCTCCAAAAGTGGATCCCAAGGTCTGCGCCAAGGAGCCTATATTGTGCTCAACGGGCTCCAGACCGCCTGCCTGAGACATTGCTTGTTCCTGGCCACATTGGAGCTCGTAAAAACCAAAAGAACTGCAGATGCGGTAAATCAGGAACGAAACCAGAAGTTGCTGGAAAAGCTCAGCAGGTCTGTCATCATCTGTGAAGAACAATCAGAGTTAGTGTTTCGGGTCCGGTGACCCTTCCTCAGAACTGCTCTGTGGAAGGGTCACCGGACTCGAAACGTTAACTCTGATTTTTTTCTTAACAGATGCTGCCAGACCTGCTGAGGTTTTCCAGCACTTCTGGTTTTGTTCACATTGGACCTAGTATCTGATAGCACCTTTCTGAGAGGGCTCAGCTGATCACTTCCCCATCTAGGACCCAGTGGAGGAACGCATCTAGACTACACTATGGGGCTCTGCAATTTCTACCCCTCCAGACTCTTGAAAAGATACTGGCAGGCACCTAGCGCATTGATTTCATATGAGGGAGCAGACATATTCAGGCACCTAGCTTCCTGAGCATTTTAACTCAGGATGTGAATATCTACATTGATTAAAGGGGACAAGCTGGTGGGTCAGGCAGGGGGAGGATACAAGTCAGAGTCAGAGATAAAAGGAGGCAAGTTGGAGGTTTAGGGAGAGGGAAGGGGATAGGGGACAGATTGGAGGGTGAAAGGGGCAGGTCAGAAGGTTGGGGGAAAAGGGAGGAGTTTGGGGAGAGGAAGGGGGTGTAGGTTGGATGGTCAGTGCTGAGGAAGGTCAGGAAGGAAAAGCATCTGTAATGACCAGGAAGGTTAGGGGATGGGAAGCAAGATCAGTGGTGAGCAGGAGGTGCTGCAAGTAGAACATTACATTTTTCTTTCATATTTCAAAAAATTGCCAGTATAAGAATTTAACAGTGTAAAGTACTTTAATTTGCAGCGTATCATGTTTGAATTATTTTTATGGCAAGGATGAACCTATGAAATGTAACATAGTTTTAACATTGATTCCTATGGGAACCTACATTTCACTTAGATATTTTTCTGAAAGCTGTGATTTTCAGGAAAACAATCATATATGTTCACAAGCCTGAGTCAAACTCGACAGGAATGGCTGCAGAGCTGGATATGCAATAAAACAATACTATCTGTAGGTATCCTAATACTGTATCTCCCTCACACCGCATGAAATCAAAACAGTAGGTCCTCAACAGTTGATTATTAAGATCCCCTACATCAAAAGTTTTGGTAAAGTGGCTTATACAATGCATTTTATCATGACAGAGAACATATCAGTTGGTCTAATAATAAAACGGGTGTTTTTAGCATCTTAGCAGATAAAAAGTTTCTTGTAGCAGGAAGTATTTGGCAACAGTGTTAAGGATGTTGCTGTTTCGGCTGTGGCTCAGTGGTAGTGTTCTTGCCTATAAGTCAAAGGTTATGGGTTCACTTCCCACACTTGAGTGACCTGACAAGGCCACCTTGCCTGATTGCCCAGTGCTGTACTGAGGGAGAACTGCACTGTCAGAGATGCTGTTTATCAGAGGTGCTATTAAAATGAGACTCCTTCTTTAGTCTCGGGTCAATGATAAAGATCCCCTGATACTGTTTAAAAGAACAGAAAGGAATTTCCCTGTTTCCCTGGCCAATATTTATCCCTCAAAAAAACAATGAGCTGGTCACTATAACATCGCTAACTTTTGGGATATTAATGTGCACAAAGAGCTATTTCCTACACCACAGCCCCGATTTTCGTTGTCGGGTCAACTGCCCAGTAGTGGGCGAATTCCCAGCTCTGCAAACACAACCTTTACGAACAGCCATCCATGACCCTCATTCTACGTCAGCATACAAGGAATTGCTGAAGAAGGGTCCCGACCCAACCCAAAACGTCAACTTTTCTGCTCCTCTGATGCTGCCTGGCCTGCTGTGCTCCTCCAGCTCCACACTGTTATCTTTGACTCCAGCATCTGCAGTTCTTGCTATCTCCGAGCAGAAAGCCTGCTTGGCGGTTCCAGCACTACATCCAGAAATTAAAATAATTTTGAAAATAATCCACCAGCCCCACCCCCAATACCCCTCTTACAAACTTCACATTTACCATCCATGCCAATGCATGCCATTTAATGCCCTCTACTCTCTTTCAGGCCTCCTCAAAATCCCTATACCAGTGCTTCCCAAATATTTTCCCATCATGACCCCATTTTGGTGCTTAAATGCAGCTGAGACCCCCATCCAGTGAAAGCAGGATCTGGTGGGTGTGTGAATATGCCCTGTGAGGGGAGGAAATCCTTGAAATATATTCTAACTATGGGAGTTAAGGTCGCTCTCTATTCCACTGCACTGATGATCCTGAAATTGCTTCGCTATCCACATCTGCTGCCAGACCTGCCGTACGTCTTCAGCTTTTTCTTTCTTATTATGTAAGAACCATGTGAATACAAGGTAAACAGATTTAACCTCCTATCTAAATGCATGTTTAGAATTAAAATCAATTTTAAAGCATGGTGTAGTCATGTATTTTAATGTGGTCAGATCTGATTTCTACTTATTGATCGCTGTGTTATCACTTGTGCGCATTAAATAGAAACCTCACAATCAACATTTTTTGTATTACTAGTCTGTTACTATTACTATCTACTTCCTTGGACCCATTGTCATCATTTAAAATGCTGAAGCCTTTGTAAGCTGAACCTCAATAAGATACATTTTGCCCCAGCTCCAAGGAAGGGTGATGCTTGATGGGATTGTGTGAAATAATTTCTAAATAGGTCCTTTAGTGCATCCTTGATTCCCATCAGCTTGCTCTTTATGCTCCTCCTTTTTGCATCCCATTCACTAATATATTGCGAGGCAGTATCTTTTTTAACCAGCTGACACTGATAAGAAGCGCATATAACACACATGATGTTCACGAAGGGGTGGAAATATCTATTTTCTGTCAAAGGCTACAAACATGAATTGTTAATTTATTGTTTTCATAGCTGCTGCCTGAACCAGTGAGTTTTTTTTTAGCATTTCCTATGCATTATTCTAGATTTCTCACATTTGCAGTATGCTGGTTAATGTCTTCTGTCTAGGCTGTCCTCAACGTCTGGCTGTAGCTACCTTTTATTGAGGATTGTAAGCATCCTTTTTCTGTTCAAGTCCTTAGCTAACAATATTCCCTCCAGTCATAAACATGCTGTTCAGTTCAGGAAAGTCCATTTTAATGCTCAGAGTTCTCAGTGACAAATCGCAGCAGGAAAGGTAATCTCATCAGAATGAGGGAGACAGTAGTGAAGAAAAGAGAGTAATGAAGCCCTGTTAATACATTGTTTTTCCTTCATGCTGTGCAACATAGAGCTGGGAATGAAGTCAGTGGCTATGATCTCATGCACAACATATTTTCTGTACTGCAATCTAAAAGTTGGTGATCATGAATTAAGGCAAGATTCAGTCAAGAGTTCTAATTCTGATCATTATTCAGTAAATTCCTTGTAATGTGTAGAACAGAAACAGAAAATACTGGCAAAACTCAGCAGGCCTGGCAGCATTTGTGGAGAGAAAATACAGTTAATGTTTTGGGTCCCGTGACCCTTCTTCAGATCTGTGTATGTATATGTTGACTATTCGTTAGGAATTGGATTGAACTTGACTGTCCCTGTCTACTGAACTGGTCTCAAAACTCACTTTCCACCTTCAAGAGAAACAGGGAAAACTGAGGAAGAGAATTGGAAAATAATGAGATGAAACAGCTGATAAAAGGCAGGTGTGTAGTAACATAAAGAACTGATTCTAAATAATTTATTGTTCCTAAAGCATATTACCTCATGTAGAAGAACCGCTATTTTAATCAACTTATTCTATTTAGTTTTAAACATTTTATGTATATCATCAAAAACTAAGCAGCCTAAAATGAAGGAAACCATGCAATCAAGGTGAGACATTCTTAAATAATCAGCTTAAGTTAGTAGTTAGTTAATACATATTGGAAATTGTCCCTTCCAGGCCATATTTCCCAAGTTAAGATGCTCACATTAGTTGGGAGAATGGAGTAAGTCTTAATAAAGATTCCCTGTTCCATCTGGAAACTTTTGACCATGTAGTCATTTTGCTACCTTTGCCATTGACTGCTTGTACTAATATTAAAGCACTATGCCCTCTCTTTGAACAAAAGAGAAGACTCTTTAAGTCAATTCATATTCAGTTAAATTCTGAGTTACAGTGTAACCCAGGATGGCAACCAGTCCTCACTGATCAGTTTGCTGTCTAAGAAAGATTATTTCCGTTCTTGGTGAGGAGATGAGAATTATCTAACATCCAATTCTCAAGTCTTGAGATATTTTCTATTAAAACCTGCAAGGGGCACCATCTTGTTTAAGAACTGTTAGGGAATTATTATATGTGAATAAATTTTGATTGCACTCAGGGAGCAAATCTAGACAAATCTATAACTGTAAGCCAGTTGTTCCCTGCTGAATATGCTCCAAGATCAGGTCAGAGGCTTTATCACTAGCCTTTTGACTCCCCAAAGCCTGTGCACCATCTACATGACACAAGTCAGGAGTGTAAGAGAATACATTCAACTTGCCTGGATGAATGCAACTCCAACAACACTCAAGAAGCATGGCACCACCTTAAAAGCAACTTACTCGATTGGCACCACATCTACAAACATCCACTCCCTCCACCACTGATGCTCAGTAGCAGCAGTGTGTACCATCTACAAGATGCACTGCAGAAATTCTCCACATCTCCTTACACAGCACCCTCCACACCCATGACAACTACCATCTAGAAGTGCAAGGGCAGCAGATACAATGGAACACCAACACCTGCAAGTTCCCCTACAAAACACTCACCATCCTGACTTAGAAATATGTTGTTGTTCCTTCACAGTTGCTTGCTAAAAATCCTGGAATTCTCTCCCTAATGGCATTATGGGTCTACGTACTGTAAATACACTGCAGCAATTCAAGAATGCAGCTCACCACCACCTCCTCAAGGGCAACAGGGATGGGCAATAAATGCCAGCCCAGCTAGAGAAGCCTACATTCAATGGATGAATAAAAAATAT